TGTTTCAAATTATGGAAGGTTTACTTCTTTCCAGATAGTAATGGAAAACATGTTTAACATCTACATTATGAAATATCTATTAGTCAGGAGTACATGGATTGTTGTAGTATGTGGGAATTGCCTCTTGATTTAAAGTACTATCATCCCAGAAATTTGGGATAAACGAAGGAGATGGCCTCAGTACTACTTTGCATGGATGAAAATACATGTAGGCAAAATCTTGTAATGGCCAGCGGTAGTCATTGGAGAGAGTCTACATTTTCAAAAGAACTTTCCCACGCTGTGTAAAATGACTCAGAGCACTCTGATTGGCTTAAACCCACCAATCAAAGTGTTCTAAGCCTAATTGCAGGGCGGGGCAAGGCTTTATAAGTGCGACGGGTGTAATGGATTTTTATTTGGCCTTTTTGGGGGCTGAAGAAAGAAGATTTTAGAAAAAAGAAGACGTCAAATGGTAAGTTTAATTATTTTTTTTTTTTACAGGTTAGTTATTTTATTCCCCCCTCACTATTTGTAGGGTGAGGGGGGTAGGTAGGGGATAGGTTTTTTTTGGGTGGGGGGGATGGTGACTAGGGGCTTGGGACCCCTAGTCACCTTGATTGGGGGGGGGTTGTTTCATTTAGGGCCCCCACCCACCGCTCAGGGGTGGGGGCCAGGAGGGGGGAGGACAGTAGGTCCCCCCCCCTTATTGTTTTATTAGGGCCCCCACCCACCGCGCAGGGGTGGGGGCCAGGGGGGGAGGACAGTAGGCCCCCCCTATTGTTTTATTAGGGCCCCCACCCACCGCTCATTGGTGGGGGCCAGGGGGGGAGGACAGTAGGTCCCCCCCCCTTATTGTTTTATTAGGGCCCCCACCCACCGCGCAGGGGTGGGGGCCAGGGGGGGAGGACAGTAGGTCCCCCACCCTATTTTATTAGGGCCCCCACCCACCGCTCAGGGGTGGGGGCCGGGGGGAGGACAGTAGGTCCCCCCCTTATTGTTTTACTGGGGCCCCCACCCACCGCTCAGGGGTGGGGGTCGGGGGGGGGAGGACAGTAGGCCCCCCCCCCTTATTGTTTTACTAGGGCCCCCACCCACCGCTCAGGGGTGGGGGCCAGGGGGTGGGGGCCAGGGGGGGAGGACAGTAGGTCCCCCCCTCATTATCTTCATGGCCCCCACCCGCCGCTCAGGGTGGGGGAGGACAATAGGTCCGCCGCCCCTTATTGTAATTTATGTCTTTTTTTTCAACAGTGAGCAGCCATAGGCTGCTCACTGTTTAGTAGACATGCCCCTACTCGCGGTATAGCGAGTAGGGGCATTTGGGAGATTTTAATCTCCCTTGTGCTATTATGGGGGTCATATTGACCCCCATAGAGTGAGAGGGGGTACTGGGGGGGGCTTATGAAGTGGTGGGGAGCACTGCTCCCTGCCGCTTCTATAGTTACATATTACAAGGAGGGAGCTGCACGCCGGTAGCTCCCTCCCTGTAATAAGCTGCACGAACAAACTAACACTGATACATAGTGTTAGTTTGTTCGGCTGATATTTCTATTCACTCATTCGTCTGTCTGATTAATGAATGAATAGTTGAAATTCCCATTTCATGTCCAGGTGTTTCACTGGGCATGTGCGGGAATCTCAGTGTCTGCCTAGTGTGGGCTGATGATGTGTCCCACAGGGACTTCATCTACCCACACAAAGATGGTGGCGCCCTGAATCAAGATCGGGGCAGAAAATAAGGAATAAAAAATAGGTAATGTGGGGGGCTTAGGGGCATTTGGGGGTGACTAGTGGGTCAATTGGATGTAGTGGATGCGGGAGGGGGGTTAAAAAAAAAACGGGATTCGGCATGACAGTGCCGCTTTAACCCATTCATAAACATAGCAGTTTCTCTGAAACTGCTATGTTTATAAAAGAATGGGTTAAGCCTAGCTGGACCTGGCACCCAGACCACTTCATTAAGCTGAAGTGGTCTGGGTGCCTAGAGTGGTCCTTTAACATCCTAAATGAACTCAAATTGTGATGGACAGAGAAATGTTAGGACAGATGGAGAACAAACCAGAAAGCATGACCGTTATGACAATTGTTATATCCTTAATGTGCATTTAAAAGAAAACTGGGCATCACATCAGCTAGTATAACTACTTATAGGTGGGGTTCAAAGTTTTATAAAATGGTTTGCCAAAGAAGTGACAGATCCTTTTAAAGCTATTCACAATCACTGTAGCAACCGATACCAGGGTAAACAAAGCATAATAGGTCTAAAATGTATTTCTACCTGAAAGAAAACATGTGAATTATATGGTGCATTGAAAATGCATAAATGAGTCAGGTTTGCCATGGTCTAAAAATAATGAGTAATGCCATCTCATAAAAAAAACAAACAAAAGCAAAAAAAATAAAGAATGTATTTTAAAGTACAATAGCTGGTATAAAGTGCTAGTTCAAAACATAAGTGTCCTGTCTTGTCATGAACTTTTGTTTTCACTCATTTATTTACATGGGCTAACGTAAAGCTACAGGTATATTTTGCACAGAAAGGTAAAAAAATACAAGAAAGGGCTGCGCTTGGATAAAACTTTAAATAATACGGAAAGTCCAGATAAAATAAATGGATAAAAGGAGAAAGTCTTATCTGGCAATGTCTGTTGAAATCGTATTCTACTTGGTCCAAAACAGTAGTCTTACTTATTATCTTCCTTGTAAGGTCGTCTCGTATGTAAGTTAAAAACAAATACAGAACCAATATAGTGTAGTATATCTTGGATAGTGAAGGAAGTAGAAATGAAAAACTTGATTGCAAACTCACATTTAAAAGCGCTAGAACCCGCTCTGGTATAAAGGGCGCACAGCGGTTTAAATCCCCGCTTGTAGGATATGGAATAATAAAAAGAGACAGCCAATAGTGTTCTCTGAATAAAAACTTTGAATAAAATATGTAATAAAAGTGGATACTCACAAGACAGGAGCAGATCAACTGCTCCTGGTAGTTCGCGTTGGTGGTATAATCCCCACCTAGGATTGCTTGGAGTCCAGAAAGATAAACGAATGAAAAGGAATGATGCCAGGTAATAATAATAAATATATGTGTATAAAAAGATAAATGGTACGATAAAAAGTTACCAAATATCAATGGGTATAAATATCCCAGCCGAGGATATGAGCAGGCTGAGCGCCTCTTTCAAATACGATTGGCGCAATGACCACCTCAAATTCTTAGGAATCAATATCACCCCAACCTCAGCAAATCTCTACAAAACAAACTACCAAAAAACACTGTCCGAAATAAAAAAACTTACTGCTAGGATGGAAAGGTAAATTTATATCCTGGTCAGGAAGAATAGCCGCAGTCAAAATGATAGTCATACCAAAACTGCAATACCTATTCAGAACATTACCCATAAAAATACCACCCAAATTCCTACAAGAGGCACAACAAACACTGCTTAACTTTATCTGGGACAAACATAAATCGTGAGTGGCGAAGAGCACACTATCTATACATGCCACGCAAGAAAGGGGGTATGGGAGTACTAACCTAGACAGCTATTACAGAGCAGCCATATTAGGTCCCTTATTAGCGGCGTGCCACCGGGACAACCCAACACAATGGATGGAACTGGAGACACAACACGCTAACAATATACCCATTGCTATACTGGCATGGCTCCCTCGACACAGCAGGCCAGCAACAAACGAACTGCTCCCAACCACAGCTCTAACTTTGTCCATATGGGACAAATACTGCCGCACATTAGGCTGGTCGGGCAAAATATTGCCCGCCACCCCTATAAAAGCATTACACTATAGGATACCAAACTTTAATTACACTCTGTGGCACCGACATGGGGTAACACACCTACACCAACTACTGGAGGAACATACACTTAGAAGCCTCACGGATCTAACAACCTCTTACCACTTGACCCCAATGGCCTCATTCTCATATATGCAATTACACTCATGGTTCAGCAAGCAAACCTTGAATAGGATGGATAATGTACAAGGGCAACAGCTGACGGTGGTAGAAAAAATTTGCTCATGCCTATCAACCCCCAAAAAACTTATATCCGAACTATATCGAACGATGCACACTCAAAAAGACCACACAAAATTATCATTCGTTGCAGCATGGGAGAAGGAATTCACATATACGCTCGATGCGCAGCAATGGAATAAAATCCTACTTGCACATAACTCACTCTCCAAATGCGCCTCCCACATGGAACTATCCCGAAAAATCTTATACCGATGGTACTTAGTGCCTACACGTATAAAAGCAACATACCCACAAGCATCCGATATCTGTTGGAGATGCCAACAACACAAAGGCACAATGCGTCATGTATGGTGGAACTGCCCCTCCCTAACAAACTACTGGGACGACATAACTACCATAATACAAGACAGCACAAAAATGCTTCTACCCCGCAATCCAGAAACGTACCTCCTCCAGCTCTTCCCAAAGGGAATGCAGGGTAGCCAGAAATATTTAACTTACCACATACTAATGGCGGCACTAACAGTCATTAGTAGACACTGGAAATCTGCTATCCCGCCCACAATAACAGAATGTATACAGACGATAGAAACAACTAAGCTTTATGAACAGGCAACCAGACGATCAAGTCACTCCAAAAAAATCTGGTCACAAGCCTGGGAAAACTGCCAGTCGTACATGGAGCATAACACTGTGCCTTCAAAATAAGACACTGGGCCCTCAAAATAAGAGGCTGTGGCAAAGACCTACAGACCGACAGCTGGGCCCTTTTAGACAATGAAAAATTTAATCGAAAACAAAAGTGTAAATAATGATAACGCGGTAAATAAAAATAACACACAGTTGAAAAAACAAATGCTCAACAGAAGCAACCATAAGAAGCCGAACGCCTGGGAGAATCCTACCACCCCCACACCCTTACATCTACACCTCATCTCCCTCTGTGCCCCCACCCCCTAAACCTATCCCTTCTCCTCTGTTTCCCCCCCCCACCCCTCCCCTTCCAGTGGTACATGAAACACTAATACTTTGCACCGTCTACCAAAGAAAAAAACAGGTGACTGTGAACTCCGATAGTCGAACGTGAGTCCTCCCCACGGTAGAAAAATGACCAAACCGCTAGACGAACCTAGAGAAACACAAAGCATGCACACACAAAAAATAAATTATATATAAAAATGTTGTATATGAATAATGCGCAAATGGTATGCATGTCAATGTATAAGACGATACTTACCTTACCACTGTTCCCCATCCCCTTTCTATTCTGTACCCTTATAAAACTGAAATAAAAATTGTCGAAGTAAAAAAAAAAAAAAATTACAAAAAAAGTTACCAAATATACTTTAATATTTAAAATTACACAATATAAAAACCATAAACGCGTTTTGCCAGTCGGCGTTATCAATATGGGTAAACAAAGTTAGGAGACAGTCATTTTCAACGAGAAAAATGCAATTCTTAAAAGGACACTATAGTCACCAGAACCACTACAGCTTGGTGTCTATAGCCTGTCCATGCAGGCTTTTCAGTGTAAACCCTGCATTTTCGGTTTACATTGCTGCATAGTAACACCTCTAGTGACAGTCACTCAGACTGGGTCACACCTGATAGCTTTTCCCTCTCATCATAGGATGTTACTTTCATCCAAAATGTGATAGTTATCCACTATCTTAAGAACATAATGTGTTATAAGAATTCCTGGGCAGTCACTCTAGTGGCCAAGCTAAATGTATTTGTAAAAATAAAATGAGATTGTTTGTTTAAGCATGTCCATAACATAATTTCTAGGTGGCAATTAAACAAATTATAATATATTCTCCAGAGCAGGATATAAAACTTTAAAAAGTGGTTAGATGCACTTTGAATAAAAAAAATATATATAATTTAGCTTGAAAGCAATATTCTTTGCATAAAAGCTGTATGTATAATATATATTACACATAGGTTAGCCAGGGTAAACAATAAATGGACACCAAGCCAAGCTCCTCCCTCCCTAGACTTATCAGTCTATAATGGTGGGTGTAATGAATCCCCTGTACTCCAACTAAGTATATCTGCTGTAGTTCTCCCAAATACCAAGTGAAGCAGTGATTAAAGCTCAGGCATACCCAAACATTAGCCTAGACTTGATGAAGGGTACAAGACGACTGACTTTATTATGGCCAGATGGCCCACTTATATCCTTACACAGCAAGGATACAGTAAAACACGCCCTTACACAGCAAGGATACAGTAAAACACGCCCAGAATACTCCCACAACACGCCCATGAATTTCTGAGTCAGAATGACTAAGCATAAAACATATAAATGCCCCAAAACATCATAAAAATATATAGTCACCCCACACAAATTACATCCTTAAATAGCCCTGATCTGAGCACCCAAGTTCTCCAAATAGTGCTCAGATCCATGCAGAGTAGAGGAAACGCTACAGTGTCAAAGTTCTGACTGGCTGCACACATGGTCCTATGCCCAAAACAGTTCCAGGGTGTTTGGTGCTTTGGCTAGTCAACTTTAGGGAGCTCCTGTGGCCGCAATACGTGGTGCTCCACCTGTGTCTCGGATAGCGATTGTTTCCCTAAGTCACAGGCACCTTCCCTCCAAAAAAAGGCTCTCCTGGCGGATTTCAAAGTCGTTCAAAACCCAGGACAAAGTTGTCCAGGAGCCGCACGGTCACCTCATGCCGAAAACCGTTCATTAACATTCGCGGCTAACAATTTGTGTTTTTCTTCATGCGAATGTCCACCAGGGAGCTAGTGTTCGGTTCCATTTGAATAAAGGGAAAGTGCCGAACCAGGGGCACCCAGGGAAAGCTGCTAATGGAGGCTTGGGAGATTTAACTCCCAAACAGGGTCTTTGTATGTGGCCCATAGTCTTTGGGCAGGAGGCTAGCTAGCAGGCTCCTCCGGGAGGTCATGACAAACGTCCAGGGTAAGGAGCTTTTGTCACAGTGGGCAATAAGAGTTAGTGTCAGTAAGTGACTGTTCACTAGAAATTTCTGCATGGGTCCTCTGTAACGGTACAGTTTAAAAAAAAAAAAAGTCTGATACAAGTAAAATGCAAAATAATCAAAAATCATCTCACAAACTGATTACCCCCAACTTTTCCTTATAATAGGATAGGTAAACTATAGTGCCTTAGGCTTGTTTAAAAGGGGACTAGGTCTCAGAGACAAAAAAGGTTAGGAAGATAGTGAGAGGGTTCAATATAATATTACCTAGCACAATGAAATAGGTGAGAATACCATTATAGAAACACTTAACTGCTCAAATACCAAAAATAAATAAAATATTACTATTTAGTTGATAAACCCCTAACAAAAACATGCATGTATGTAATTATGCATTTTTCATTAGGGGTATATCTAAAAACAGTTTGCAAAAACTTACCCAGCCCAAACTTTAGGTGGCTATCCAAAGACAGATTTCTAAATGAGGCTCAATAAGAAGTCATTACAAGTCAGGTGCTCTGAGCAATTGCTGCCTCTTGAGTTTAGCTCCACTGAGCTAAACAACCAGGAAGTAACAGGACCAGTTGTTAAATTGACTGCCAGGGGGTTGTAACAAGGATTATTTATAAGAGTGCCAATGTCTATTGAACTCAGGAAGCTAAAGTACTGTTCATTTAATGGTTACTTGCAAGCTACAAAATTTTAATTACTGCATCATTTCATTGACATTACAAACTTATATTGTGTGAATTAGACAGTTAACACACACATACGTCTTCCCTGTAATTCAGTTCTTAAACAGTCTGCAACCCAAGTCACCCACGGTGAAATAATCAATTATGATCATCTATGTTCCACTGCGACCAAATCTGTGATGCATCACCACCATCTATCATCTATAAGAATATTTAATAGCTCTTTATTTTAATTACAATGTTGCAATTATCATTTTCAGACAAGCTCCCCTTCTGCAAAATAGACAGCAATGCTATAATATGCTTTTTAAGCTAAAATTTTTATCACTGAGTATTAATTTATTATTTTAAATCCGCTTAGACAAATCTGCTTAGACTGCACACATGCATCCATAAGTTAGTATTAGAAACAGAGTTCTCATAACACTGCACAGAGGTTTCTGAAAAGACTTGTATTTTTACTAGCATGTCTCATGCTCCCTAAATGAGAACGGTCAGCATGGGGGCATTTATTAATTTTTTTCTTCACTTAAATTTTCAAGCATATGATTGTAAAGTAACAATACACATGTTTTCTGAAACACATTCATTGGAAATACATACGCTTAAGAACTGCACACAGTTAGGTGAACCACTTATGAATAATAAAATTAAAAATGCAAAATCTTTATGAATGATGTGTAAATCAGTGTGTCACAATTTCTAAACATGCACCTAGCAGATATATCACTGCACAAAGCATGTTATTAAAATGAGTGAGGAGCACATTTTCACAGTTGTAATTACATATTTTAAACAAGATGTACATGAAGATATATAAAAAAATATATATATATATTTTTTTTTAAACTACCTGCTCGTTAACCTTAGCATGTGAAGGTCCATGGTGAATAAGTAGACGAACAATGTGAGCATCTCCCTTCCAAGCTGCAAGGTGTAGGGGGAAGCAACCCTTACAGTCTGCAATGTTTGTCACAGCTTCATTCCTCAAGAGAATTTCAACCACATCCCTGTAGGTATAAAGAAGTCTAAGCTTGAAATCCATACACCTTCTAAAACTTGCAATATAAACATCTCTTTCAAAACATCAATCACATGTATAAACTTGCAATGTAAACATCTCTTCCAAAACATCAATCACATGTAAAGAGTGATGACTGATTGACAATGACATAATACAATCCTTTTTACCCATTACAGATATGATTGCAAGGTCCAATATATTAAATAAATTATCAACTTTAAATATTTTCAACTTCTTAAAAGTGGCTCTGTCAAATCAAACTTGTCTTTCTCTTATTGTTACCTCTTCTGTTCATCTTTCAGAATGTTGTTCTTTTCTGATCTTTCTCTTTAAAACATAGGACAAAGTAGGGACAATCACTTGACAAAGGGAGGGGCTTACGGCAAGCTCCAGTTCCTTTGTCAAGCTAATAAAGAGAGTGTTGAGTTTCTTTTAAGCACCGCCTTTTGTCAAGATTTGTCAAGTGTAGAAAAAAACCATAAGACAAAGTAGTACCTATTTTGTCTTACAGTTTAAAGAGAAATAGATGAGAAATGATGGGGGGAAAAAGACAGTAGTATAATAGGAAGAGAAAAATAAACAATAGGAGAAAGGTACGGTTGGGGAGACACACTCACTTTAAGTTGGTTACAGTTAGAAAAATTGAATTGCCTAATTAAAAGACCACTATAGTGCCAGGAAAGCATACTCGTGGCCGCCATTCGACAACGTGGTGGCGACCATCTTGTTCGCATGGACCAAAACGGCAAATAGACTTCAGAGGGACTTAGCTGCGAATGTCCTGGAACTATTTTTGGCATGAAATCTCGCGGTTCCCGGTCAGTCCTCCAGCGGCACTTAGCCACAATTCTATGGAACTGTTTTGGTTATGAAATCCTGTGTTCGCCTGGGCAAAACTACGACTTCCATAGAATTTCTGAACCCCTGATCTGATCTGGGTGATTTTTGTTCACCCAGATTAGGGCTATCAGGGGATGTAAGTTTTATGTTATGTTTTGGGGTACTTATGGGACTTTATAAAAATGTGTGCTTTGTGCAAGATGTGGTTTCATATTGAATTGGCGGCTGCTGGGGCCCAGCACATTCTATCTTCTCTTTCAGACAGGTCCTCGCTGCAACTATAGCGAATATGGTGTGCCACAGGGAACATTACCCTGGTAACCCGCGCCAACACTTTGAGGCCTGTGGACTCATGAAAGATGGTGAGAGGAGCTGACAACGGCATGTACCTGGCCTCTGCCACCACCAGAATTATCAGAAACATCGGTATCATTAAAGACTGATACTAATATTGCCGAAAATCATCCAGACTGATATTTGGTTGATCCCTAGAGTATATGAAGTATTACATTGTTCTACTAAAATACACCAGATTTCAACACAGTATAATCAACATCTTTAAAGGACCACTATAGTGCCAGGAAAACAAACTAATTTTCCTGGCACTATATAGTCCTCAGGTCCCCCCCACCCTCAGGGCCCCCCTTCAGCCACTTACCTTAATCGAGTGCCAGGCTCCCTCGGTGCTGGTGACCTCTCCTCCCCCTCTGACATCAGCTCCCAAGTGGAGCTGAATGCGCATGAGGCGCATTCAGCTCCACTTGGAAAGCATTACTCATAGCTTTCCTATGGACATTCTGCGTGCTCAATGCGCATTTCGCATTGAGCGTCGCCGAAGCACCTCTAGCAGCTATCAGGAAGACAGCCACTTTGGCTTGATTAATCCTGCAATGTAAACATAGTTTGTCTGAAACTGCTATGTTCACAGCTGCAGGGTTAAAACCTGGGGACCTGGCACCTAGACCACTTCATTGAGCTGAAGTGGTCTGGGTGACTATAGTGGTCCTTTAATGTGACCCTGTTACATCTCATAATCTTTGCAAATGCACCAAAACCTGACACATTATCAGGATCGGAAATTAAGTTGCTGCATTCAAACATCACTTAAGACATTCAAAAGATTGGTGGGTGGTTGGTGGTAAAATACCCCAGGGAATCTACTTTTGTAAATGGTAAGTATTTGAAACATTTCCTTACTTGTGTCCATTAAGTGAGGCATGGTGCAAAGGTGTATATCCTGAGTTGTCAACACAGTTCACGTTGGGGCCACGCCAAATGCTGAGAAAAAGAAAATTAGTTGCAGTTAAATTAAATGTAATTTGTTAAAGACAGAAGTCTATGCAATATTGTAAGACACCCAGCAGGTCACTTTCCAACTATTTATAAACTCACAAATGGGTATATTATTCTTAAGAAGAATTACATGAACATGGCATTATAAGAACTCATTGTAATTATATGCAAATAATGGCAAGAAAGTAAAAAAGTGATTTACTGGAACAAGAGTACATGACTGAAGCTGTAGAGCAAAAGATGGATACTGTGAGAAAATGCCAATTTAGAGAACGTATTCAAATATGGAGGCAAAATACCAGAAGATATTTTTGTTGCTGAAGTGCTTTATGCACCTGGTGCCTGTCACATTTATAAAAGTGCCAATATTAAAGGGACACTATAGTCACCCAGACAACTTCAGCTCAATGAAGTTGTCTGGGTGTCAGGTCCCTCAGCTATTAACCCATCAGATGCAAACATAGCAGTTTCAGAGAAACTGCTATGTTTACAATTGGGGTTAAGCCAGCCTCTAGTGGATGTTTTCCGGAGAGCCACTAGAGGCACATCTGCGACGCTGGAGGCATATTATGCCTCCATCGCGCAGAGCGTCCATAGGAAAGCATTGAGTAATGCTTTCCTATGGACACTTCGAATGTGCGCGTGGTGCTTGCCACGCATGCGCATTCGGCTCCGCTGACGTCTGACGGGGGAGCTGACGGCGGGGGAGGAGAGGTCTCAAACGCCAAGGGAGCCCGGCGCTGGAATAAGGTAAGCTGCTGAAGGGGTTTTAAAAAACAATTGTGGGAAAAAACACGTCCCTGACTGTCAGAAAAGTTTTCATTCAAAAGCATGCTATACTAGAGCTTGTGTCTGCTTTACCCCCTTTACAAAGAGCTTTATGAAAGTTCATTGAGAAGAATAGGAAAGCCTCTGATTGGAGTTTTTCCAGCACAGACAGGAAGTCTGTGCTGGGGGAAAGGGGATTGCTTGCAAAGGCTGCAGTTTTGCAAGCTGTTTATAGATAACACCCCCAAAGTAAACATGTAGAGAAATACTAAATTGCTTTTAAAAAGATAATGTATATAGAGTGGCATGTTCCTTTAATCACCTTAAGGACGGTGTGCGTGCTATTCTGTGCTGAACAATGTGGGTGGCATAGCATGCAATGCGGATGAGCACAAGCATCTCCCGGCCTGGTACCTGTAGGGGTACCGATCAGGGGGACTGCTCGACAACTTATGCAATGCTACATGTGATCATGATGACATCGCAATCACATGACTGGATCAGCAGTTACCATCATTGCCTGTAAGGGGACTGCCTGGGTTATCAGACAGATCCTCGAATTATAATAAAGCCACACGTATGGTAGATAGATAGATCGATCTTCAAACAGATAACACTCCAGGGTCTTATCCAAAAAATAAAAACTTTTATTGCTTACAAAACAAACAACATTTCAGTTTAAGCTTACAAACTTTCATCAGTTGTTTGTTTAGTCATAACTTGTACAGTTGCCTCAATCATTAAAGAGTTAATCTATTAACTGCATGGCCATTTCACATTGGTGTGCTAAAGTCATTTTGGGGCATTTGCATTCACTGCATTTCTTTGCACGCAAAGTTTTTCTGCAAATTGCCTTTACTAAAAAGATTTATTTTTTTTGGCGGAACAAGCAAAGTCAGTTTGCAAAAAAAAAAAAAATCTAAATATTTAAAAATAACTACCACACAAAAAGAAAAAAGGAAGAATGCTGGTTTTTGCAATATCTAATATCATGGAAGTCTTTGTTTTTAGAAATATCTCAAATATTTACATTTTGAATTAGCATCAGTTCGGCTCACTAAAAAAAGTAAACATTGCAGATTTTATAGAGGTGTTTTTCAATATATTTTTGCAATTGAAACAAGATGAAATGTGTTAATTTGTTATTCTGTAATATATTGGAATTTATGCACAAAATGCATAGGAATAAAATACTGAATAAAAAATTCATTGTATTTCAGGAGTTGCTCATTTCACACTGCTTATTAATTTTCTTTTAAAGGGTTACTTTAAGCATTATAACCATATTTTGCTGTAAAACACTGCACTTGCTGAGTTTAACCCTTTAGCTGCCAGAGGTGCAACTCCACCTCCCAATAATATAATACAAGCCAGAGTTCCAGGCTGGCTACTAATCTTTTTTTGCACAGTGTGCCATTCATTGACTAAGGGCAATCAGGTTCAAGCCCCTGCAACTCTGCCGAAACTCGAAGTGCTCCAGCAGGGGCTCAAGTAAGAGGACAAACCATAACTATACCGCTTACCCCATCACCAGCGACCGGGCAAGGGTACTCCTGGCATCATAGCCACTATTATATATAATACATGCTCTGGCGAGTTGCAATATTTGTCAATATTCAGTATCTTTAAACATCATGAAAAGCACTTAATAGGAGATACAAAACAAGGAAAACTTAAACTTGATATACCAGTCAAACAAAAAGATACACTACCTTTAGTGCTTGTTATACTATCTTGAGATTGTATTACCATCTATGTTTTCAACACTTCTGTATGAGTGTGTGCGCGCGAGCCTGCATGAGTACGTGTGTGTATTGTATTTTATAAATAAATATATATATATATATAGATTGTGTCGTATCACAACTCAACTTTGAATTCTATGTGTCGTCTTGCTCAGAAATGCTTTAGACTTGAGAAAGGGAGGCTCTCCAGAAAGCTTGTAATTAAAAAATTCTGTTAGTCCAATAAAAAAAGGTATTACAAGATACAAATTCTGTTTTTTTACACATGTGTGTGTGTGTATGTATATATATATATATATAAAAAACAAAAGCAGTATATAAGGAGCACTCACAGGTCTTCATCCAAAATCTAATTTATTCTTTGTTGCAAATTACATGTGCAAATTTGAACCAAAGAATAAATTAGATTTTGGATGAAGACCTGTGAGTGTTCCTTATATACTGCTTTTGTTATATAGTAAACGCTGAGGATTGCACCCAGGCAAGGATTAATCATTTTCTGGAATCATTAAGGGTGAGTGCCAAGGTTTCTGCGCTATATATATATATATATATATATACACACACACACATACACACACACACTTTGTCCTGATGAAAGTTCCTGCGTGAACTGAAACGTTAACTGTTGGGAATCTTCAATAAAGAACTTCTACTTTTCTAAAGACATTGAGTGCTGACTATCTTCTACACCAGGGGTAGTCAACCTACGGCACTCAAGGTGTCTTTGCACGGCACTCAGAGCCAAATAGGCTCTGGCCTATCAGGAGTCCCAGTAAAACTTCAGATATCTGCTAATCCGAAAAGGTGGTGAAGGACAATCCTCAATTTATGCATTGCAGCACATAGAGGAAGTGATCTCAGAGCACTTCATTCCAGCACTTGTGAATAGGAATCCACACAATAGTAGAGCAGCTCGCAGTTGCAGCTCCTGTCCTTGACCTGTACCCGGCCAACATGGTCCCCACTGGAACCCACCCACACTGCTAGATCTAGACAGAAATGCAGAATAGCCCTCTCCTCATACAAATAATACGGACAGCCCACACACAAACATGCACACAATTCGCACAAACGAAACACCACTAAAAATCCACATACATGCACACAATCCCACATGCAATACCCCAAACAGCCCCCACACACTACCAAACACACACTGTGACATATCCATCCATCCACACACACACACACACACACACAATTCCACAAGCAGCCCCCATACACAGCCCACATTCATATGTATCATACACAATACCATAAACTACTCATGAACATATACAATATAATAGCTCAGAAACGCAGGGCCGTCATTAATGCGGGGCAAACTGGCCAGCTGCAGTGTGAGCCCTGCTGGCCTCAACTATTTCTAACCCTCTGGCCGGTAATCCGCACACTAAGGAGGCACACCAGGTGGCCCATGTACAAAGGACCACCTGGTGGGTTTCTGTCAACAGGGGCCCGGTCGCATGCTGAGGCGCTTTAACAGCGCGAGCGGGCTCCTTGCTTTTCGGCAGCAGGCTGGGAGGAAGTGACGGCCGCGCATCACTTCCTCCCACAAAGAGAGGAGCGCGCGGGAAAGAAGAGTAGGCAGATTGGAGGGGGGCTGGCCGAGAGCGCTAGACCCCCAACTCCCAACACCTTCAGCCACCAGCAGGAAAGGTAGGAAACTGGAGGGTGGGTTTTAAAGTGTATGTCTGTGTCAGTATGTCTGTGTGTGTGTGTCATCTGTGTGTGTCAGTATGTCTTTGTGTGTCAGTATGTCTATGTGTCAGTATATCTGTGTGTGTGTCAGTATGTTTGTATGTCAGCATGTGTGTGTGTGTGTGTGTGTGTGCATTTCAGTGTGTATATATCTGTGTGTGTGTGTGTGTGTGTGTGTATATATGTGCATACATCTCAGCATTCACACACTAACACTACACACAAATACACCCCTGCATTAAAATTTCAACACTACATACAAACACGTCTGTGTTACACACCAAAATTATATGTAAATACACCTCTGCATTCAAAAACCAACACTACACAAATACATGCTTGCAATCACGCCAACACCACATACAAACATATTCCATACAAAAAACTGTTTACATTCAAACACACAAAAACTGCTTAGTGTTAAATACAGACCTGCAAACATGGGTAAATGGTAGAGCCCCAGCTGTCAATGCATTTCTGGAGTTGCACGACAGATGGGGATCTACCTTTTAATCACCCGTGCAACAGGGAGACCCCCAAAAACTGGGCTATAATCACTGCATTGGCCTTTTACAGTAGCCCAGTGGTTCCCAAACTTTTTAGGTTCTAGGTGCCACTTATGGTGAAACGCGTTTATGGTTATTAATTCTGTATTTTGCTGTGTATTTTAGATCAATAAAAGTTTTTTGGCTACTTTATTGTACCGATCCTCTTTTTATTGCACTCTTTATGCACTTTAAACATTTTTTTTTACCTATTCCTGGCATTTTAACCTTTCCTGGTTACTTTTACTTCCACTGGCAATTTTAAAGTTCCAGTACTCCAAGAAATCCTAGGTGGGGATCATACCACCAGCGCCTATCCATAGAGCAGTACCTCTGCTCTATCTTTGTGAGTATTATTTTATTTTCTCTACTACTCTCTTAACCTATCACAATTGAGAGCACTATTGCTGCTTTTTATTCTTCTATATTGGAGCCTTGGATCACCAGACGGTGCTGACGGACGTATCGCCGCTACATATCCTATAAGCGGGGATTATACCGCTGTACGCTATCCACACCAGAGCTGGCCATAGCTCCCTCAAATGTGAGTTTTTTACCTCTTCTTATCTGCACATTGAACCACATCAAAATTGAGAGCACAATTGTTGCTTTCTGTCTTTCTTTTTAGAGTTCTGGACTACCAGACGGTGTTGACGGAGACCCCTTCCCTACATATCCCATAAGCGGGGATTATACCGCTGTACGCAATCCACACCAGAGCTGGCCATAGCTCTCTTGAATGTGAGTTCTTTACTTTTTGTTACCTATCACACCCTGAACTTTCATACTATACCATTAGTCGCCTCTACCTCTCTTGTATTTACATTTACGGAACGGTCTACACTAGACGCATCCACAGAGGAACTCTATCAAGTATCCTAGACCATCTATTTGCACCCTAGCAATACTTTACTGGACTATCTACCCTTATTTGGCGCAGCCCTTCCATATCTTTTTGTATCTATCCACCGAAGGACTCGAGGGGTTTTCCTTCATTTGGGTTGCTGCCTACCTTGACTAATTTTGTGATTACTAGCGCTGAATTCTTTTTGTGTTTATAAAACAAAGGAAGCTATCCTGCGCCACAACAGAGGGACAGCGTATGAACACGAGGGGACCGCCATACAACTCTATCAGGACGTGGCACCAGCTACACTCCTGCGGAGGAAGGAGTGGAAACCTGTCACGGATCTGCTGAGGAGCAACGGAATCCGCTTTGCCTGGGGTTACCCCTTTAAGATCCTGGTCTTCCAGGGACCGAGGCCGCCGGGGGGAGGAGTTGAACAATACGCTGGACAGACTGCAGGACTGGGCTGGGAGGCCATCGGGCGCACCCGATGTGGTAGAGGGTGGGAGCGATGTGTTTCACTGTCCGGCTGGGCGTGGGGGGCCTGGGGGTGGTTGGGGTGAGGAACCACCAGTAGCAGCAGTATTGTATTGCACCTCGAATCCTCTTCCTCCCCCCCTTTCCGGGCCCTCCCCCCCTTTTTTTCCCCCTCCTCTCCCTTCCCCCTCCTCTCTCCCCCCATCCTCCTGAGGAAAGTGGGTCCTGGGGGCTGGGGCTATCAAATCAAATCTATTTGGTACAGTTGAGTGGTGCCGGGGTGCTCTGCGGCTGACCTCTCTCCCCCCGCCGTCTGAGGAGATCCCCTCGGCGCGGTGGTTGCCCACCCCCAGAGTTTCCTGGCAGGACTTAAGACCAGGATCACATTGGCACACTATTGTATAATCGTTTTATTGCTGATTGTTAGTCAGTGATTTGTATATATTGTATATTGTTCTTTGACTGCTTCCTTAGAGCTCACCCTGTCCTGGTATACCCAGCTGGGCACAGAGACCCTAGGCCCAAAAGGTTTAGGGTGGGTTTTTTTTTTCTTCTTTTCTTTTTTTTTTTTTCTCTCTGAGGGGGGAACCCTTTGAGTTCCCCCCTCACTGCCCCCCCCCCTCCCTCCAAGTCTTACGGGCGCCTCTGACTCACTGCTGGAGACCACTGCTGCGTAACCACCTCGGTGGCCCGTGCCCCTAGCCCTAGGCACTCCTCCGACTACCCTTAGCGTACGAAATGGAAATTAAACTGACCTCCCTTAATGTGAATGGGCTTAACAGTCCAAACAAATGGAGACTCCTACTCCGTGAGCTTAGGCGACAGAAGGCTGACATTGCCTATATCCAGGAAACCCACTTACCCCGTACATCTGGGATACAGCTCATCAATCAGGTCTACACTAGGGCATACGCTTCCCGGGCATTGAATAAAAGACATGGTGTTGAAATCCTGATACATAAAAATTGCCCACTCACTGTAACCCACACCCATGTCGACAAAGAAGGCCGGTACGTGGTCCTGACGGGTACACTCCATTCTAACACATACCATATGATCAATGTGTACGCCCCTAACATTGCGCACAGGGCCTTCTGGTCGGAACTGGAGGAGCTGATTAGGACGCTACCCCGGGGGGGTTGTGATCCTGGGGGGAGACCTGAACTCAGTGCCATGCCCGGCTGTGGCTAGGTGAGGGGGTCTGGGCCTCCCCAGATCCCAGAACAAAGGCGGCCAGGACAGACTCTTGGACGTTTTTCTCACCCGCACAGGGTTACTGGACCCTTGGCGGATTCAACACCCTAGCGTGCGCGACTACACATTTTACTTGGCGGCACATGCCACCTGCTCACGCATAGATATGTTCCTAGTAAGCCCAGTGACCATGCCATGGGTTAGCACTACCGAGATTAATCTCATATCTTGGTCGGATCATGCCGACATAGCACTTACTCTTAAACTACCCGGCCCACGGGCACCATGGAAATGGCGACTGAACACCTCGCTCCTTAGGGACGCTAGCACGAAAGAGCTTGTCCAGACTGAGATAACGCGCTACTTTCAGGACAATGACACGCCCGACATCTCACCCACCACACTATGGGCAGCCCATAAACCAGTGATTCGGGGACTATTGATCAAAATAGCTACTCACGCAAAACGGGCGAAGCTGGAAAGGTTTGCCGAGCTGCAAAAGCAATTACGCAAGGCTGAAATGCAAAACAAGCACCAGGCCACCCCACACACGACTAGGGAACTGACAGAAATTAGACGACAACTCAGAGAGCTCATGCTTGATGAAGTCAGTAGAGACATGATTTATACAAAAAGACTTTTACGAAAAGTCCAATAAAATGGACACCCTTCTGGCTCGGGCTCTGAGACCTAAACGCACACACTCCCATATCACAGCCATCAAAGACACACAGGGGCATATACTCAGCAACCCGGGCGACATCACTAACGAATTTACAAAGTTCTTTACCCAAGTGTATAACCACTCCCCAGCCCTCACGGACGTGAACAAAACACATATGGATCAAATTAGGGACTTTCTGCGGAGCCTCGATCTACCGCACCTCCCGGCGCAGACAACCGACTATCTGGGTGCACCCATAGAACTAGACGAAATCAATAGAGCCATATCGGATCTTAAGGGGGGGGAGGGCCCCGGGCCCAGATGGGTTTGATGGCTCCTATTATAAAGTGTTCAGGGAACACCTGGTCCCCCGCCTGGCAAACATGGACAGAGACTGACGCACCCAACACTGACCTATCGACCGCAAATACTGTCCTCATCCCCAAGCCGGACCGCGATTCCACCAATGTAGCCAATTATCGCCCTATCTCCCTCATTAACTTTGATCTCAAAGTCTATGCAAAGATTCTGGCCACTAGATTAAACGTAATTCTCCCCAAGCTGATCCACGCGGATCAGGTGGACTTTGTTCCCAACAGGCACCTATACGGAAACACGAGCCGAGCGATTGACCTGATGTGGTGGGCAAACAGGACACACACGCCTTCTCTGGTCCTTGCGTTGGACGCGGAGAAGGCCTTCGATAGGCTTCAGTGGTTGTACATGTTCGCCCTCCTCGAGGAAATGCAACTTCCTCCTGTGTTTGTCAGAGCGGTCAGAGCGTTATACGCGGCACCGAGAGCGCAGATTTCACTCCCGGGAGCACGACCTGTTCCTTTTGATTTAAAAAATGGCACCCGCCAGGGATGCCCCCTCTCCCCCCTCCTCTTCATCATGGCCGTGGAGCCTCTTCTACACCAGCTCCGAACTGACAGCAGAGTGCAGGGCATAAAAATTGTGTCCGAGGAGTTTAAAGTCCCGGCCTATGCCGATGACATCTTACTTACTCTTACAGCCCCCAGGGTAACAGTCCCCCGGGTCCTTGATATTCTCACTACGTATCAACAAGTTTCCGGGTACAGGATAAACATAGATAAGTCCGTCGGTATGCCCCTTGGGTTGGCAGACACAGACATTACTTGGCTGCGGAGTACAACGGATCTCAAAATTAGCACACAACCCATTAAATACCTGGGCATCCGACTCACGCAAAAACACGACGATCTGTATGCTGCAAACCACCAAAGACTAATGCACGCCCTGCGCAGGGACTTGGATAGATGGCACGAAAAGCACATTTCGTGGCTAGGTAGGCTGCACACCATTAAAATGAATCTTCTCCCTCGCCTCCTTTTCCTCTTCCAGGCACTGCCGGTAGCGGTCACAAGAACTGATATCAAACCACTGCAAACTGCTATTGACAACTATATCTGGGCGGGCAAGAGACACAGAATAGCGAGACATACGTTATATACCCCAAAAAGCAGGGGAGGTCTGGGGCTCCCGAACTTACACCTCTATTACCTGGCAGCCCACCTTGCGCAGATTGCTGAATGGCATTCACCCCCTGATACACACAGGTGGGTAGACATTGAAACACTCCTCATGAGCACCGACCTGCCCCAATTCTGGATATGGGTGCCCCGCTCTGACCGCCCTGAGCTATGAACCACGTGCCCGGCCATTCTGAATTCAATACGAATTTGGAATGCAACGGCTCATAAATATGCCCTCATGCACCCCGTTTCACCTATGACACCGTACCTCCGAAATAAAGCCTTTCCCCCGGGCATGGCCCCTCAGGATTTCCGCGGCCTTGAGGACGCGGGCTTACAGCGGTACTGTCACTTATTCCAGGGCACTACATTCCACACCTTTGACGACTTAAAGACGCGGGCTCCACTGACAAGCAGAGACTACTTTCGGTACCTTCAGGTACGGGACTATGCACGAAAACCACACATATTGAAAGCGGCCAGAGCAAAGCCCACATTCTATGAAACACTCTGTCTGGCGGACGGACCACGTCCCGGCCTTATCACCCGACTATATGAACAGCTAAGTGCCCCCACAAAGGAATCCCAAACACCCTCATACGTATCACAATGGGAAACGGACCTCCAGCAAACACTAGAGAGCGAGCACTGGCAGGACATATGGGAGGCAGCTACCAAGTCTTCAATATGCGTTATTCACCAAGAACAATGTTACAAGACCGTCATGAGGTGGTACACCACACCGGTCAAGCTCCACCGCATGGGCATAACACCCTCAGACGTGTGCTGGAGGGGTTGTGGGGAAAAGGGTACCTATTTGCACATGTGGTGGACCTGCCCGAAGGTTGCCCAATACTGGAGCGGCATTGCCCGCTTGCAGGCAGACATACTGAAAAGACCAATCCAACCTGACCCGTGTACTTGCTTACTGGCCAAACCGATTGACAACCTCCCCAATAAGGACCAAAAGCTCCTAAATAAAATTAATTTGGCGGCCAGGCGCGCCTCGGCGCAGATGTGGCTGCAGACCGAAATGCCGCACATGGAGAGAGTAATTAGCAATATTAAAGAAGCCTTCCTGATGGACAAACTCACCGCACAGGTGCGAGATACGTATGCAAACTTCCTCAAGGTGTGGGAGCAGTGGGAAGCCTATATGGACTCCCGATCCCGGACCTAACCCTTCCCCCCCTCATGGACGAATCATAGACAACCCCCCGGGACAGACCCCCCCTCCTCTCCAGCAGTGGGTCCTACACCTTCGCTCCCATCTCACCCCCCCCCATCTATATGCGCATAGCCTCCCCCTCAGCCGGCGGGCAGGCTGACCGGGGGGCTCAATGGGAAGCGTCCTCCATGGGCACTGCCCGGTGGCTGCGGGGTAGTTTCCGCTGGTGCTTACGTAAAGAGGGAGTGAAAACATACTGGCCAAAATAGACCCTCTAATTCTCTGCCCTTTCCCTGTGGAGATATTGTCTCACGCTGGGGACGCATACTCATCTCCGACTCCATACGCAGGTTCTCTGGACCTGGGTCACTGCCCAGCTGGGTGTATCCTGCTTATACAACCTACAACTCCTGAATGGTAGGTGTGAGTGTCTGGGATTTGTGGCTGCCGCTATTGGGCTCTTTGAGACGAGCCATCGCAGCCACTTAGTTCCACCACTCCATGGGTACATGGGGCACGCTGCCATCATCCGGAGTGCACTGGGTGAGGACCTTTTTCTCCCCTCCCAGGGTGACTAAGCTCTTTTCTAAGCAACAGTTCCTTTTGGTTGAATTTTCTCTCCGTTTCCTATTTTTATATCCCTTTTCATGTATGTTGCTGTTTCAAATATGAAAAAGGTGGCA